AATACTCATAAGTACTAGGCACTAAAACTGACACTCACCCAAGGAAGCAGGCACCAGACAAGGTACAATGTTTGGGCGTAATGTGTTCTTGTCAGTTGGTTGGTGTAAATCCCTTGGTGTTTCATTAATACAAGAAGGAGTACCTGGAAGCTGTGCTTCTACCTCAACTCTGTCTGCTTGAGATAAAATAATAAATTACTAATAAACAAATTGAATGAGCTACTGCAATACAAAGGGTTACAGTCTGAAATGTCAGCCTTCAAAAACCATAGTGGTGGTTGATACTCATGGGTGTAATTATATTTACAATAAAGGTAACATTTTTTCAAAAAAATGTATATACACTAACAAAAATAAAAAAAACCAAGACTCAGAGCCTCGAGTTCATTTATCAAAACTGGTGCCTTAAAGGAGAATGGGAATATATCAAATGTCAGATTAGTGTCAGCTCTTGCTGATGCTTAGCTACTAAGCATGAGGGCACCATATTTATCCATACTTTGGAGGAAAAATGAAACAGGAAGTGAGATAATCTGAATAATAATTAACACTATATTTTTCAAAGCTGCTGTGTGCATGAGTGCAAACAGTTTTGGTCAGTTTCTTACTCTTTACACTAGCAGCTGACATTTTGGAAATGTAGATCAATCAACAATAAGTTTGACAATAATTACCTGAACCATTATTTTCAGTCCCATGAGTCAAAGCGGATACTGTGTTTAGGGATTTGTCTCCCATCTCACTTGAATGGGCACCTCGATAAACAACATGGTTTGTTCCTAAATCAATATGACAAGCTTCATCACCTTGCTCTGATTGGCCTGACAATGATGGGCCTGGCAAGGATGGAGGTGCATCAGCTGTAGTTTCTTCTGATTGACTTCTACCTTTATTTTTCTTTTGCAACTTAAACACAATAGCCACCGATAAGATCACAAGAAATACTGCACACAATATGTAAATGGTGGTGTTGTTTGAATACCTGCCAAGTGGTGGCAATATGTTTTCAGTGTTCGGGTCTTTAGTTGACTTAGATTCTCTATTTTGTATGATGCTGGAACC